CGGAGATCCCGGGGTGCGGCGGAGCTCGGGGCCCCGCTCAGGCTGGGCGCTGTCCCGCTGCCCGGCGCGGGGGTCTCCGAGTGCGCGCCGGTGGAGACGGGGACTCCCCGTGTCCTYAGGGGGCCGGGCCGTGTCCGTGCCTGCGGTGCCCGTGACGGTGCCCCGASGTGACAGGTTCCCGGTTCCCTGTGGCCGTGCTGGAACGGGCGCTGGGGTCCCTACAAACGCGGCGGGGATCAGTGCACCGACAGGGCTCCCCGGGATTGTGCCGAGCACCGCGCTCCGGGGTCCCGGCGGGACGGGGAGCGCTCCCGTAGCCCCGACCCGCGGGCTCTCCGTGCCTGTGTCGCGCCGGAGCCCCCCTGTCCGGGAGCGGGCCCCAGCGCTCAATGCCGCCTCTGTTCGCCACTCGGGCTGCTGAAAGGCACATTGAGCCCCTGCGGGATGGGCCCTTCGGAGAAAGCCCTGGGATGGCAGCTGGGGGATCTCTGCCCCGGGCTGGGGGTCTGTGCCCCGGGCTGCGTGGCATGGGGTGAGCACGCGTCCAGTCCCGGGTGGCTGCTTGCCCACTGCACAGCCCCGAGTGTCCATCGAGCCCGGGGCTCTGCCACATCCCCTGAGCTGCTGGAAGGGAGGTGGCAACGAGGGGCACTGCTGGCASCGCGGGTGGGCACAGCCCAGGGTGGGCTCACGATGCTCACATGTGTGGGGGACTGGGATGAGGGGCTCCTGTGTCTCTGAGGCTGGGCGGGATGTGCGTTCCTTGGAGCCGGACACTGCGCTTCCTGCTCAGGTGTTAGCATCCTGCTGGGGCGGAGCTGCCACGTGTCTCCGTGTCCCTGTGTGGCCCGGGGACACGCTCACGGCTCACCAGTGGGCTCAGTTCCTGGGGCCATGGGAACTGGGACAGGCTGCCCAGCCACTCTGGGGGCAGCGAGGGTCATCCTTGGCACCCTAGGGGAACCTATCTCCTCCCAGGATTGTGGGGATGTGCCCCAGCCCTGTGACATGAGGCTCACCTTGAGCCAGGTGCCTCAGCTCACTGCCTGAGCTGCAGTGRCCGTAGGACAGATAGAGGATGGGCAGGTCGTGCAATCCTGCCAGCGTGCTGGGGCTCCTGGTCAGGGGCACAGAGCGGGCCAGGGGAGGGGGGCTGAAAGTGGTTCCAGCAGCAAACAGCCCCTGGACATGCTGGCTCTTAACCATGTGAGGCAGAAGCACTTTCTGCTGCAGGAGAGGGGATGGGGCCTCTCGTGGCTGTGTCCCCCAAGCTCAGTCAGCACCAGCTCCAGCTCTTTGACCTTCTCCTTCCCATCTTTCCAGCAGGTTGTCCTTACCCCCACTCTGATGCCAGTCCCGCCCTGCCATGAGTCTATGAGCCCCCTCCGGATCAGCGTGGGTGGTCTGCCCGTCCTCGCGTCCATGACCAAGGGTGCTGACCCCCGCTTCCGACTGCGCTGGAGGGCCATCGTGCTGTCCTCAGCCTGCGTGGGGTTTGTGCTGCTGCTCTTCTGCCTGCACCGCTCCTCCCCGGCACGGCACGGTCCCCCGAGCCCCCGCACCTGGCAGCTGGGCCTGCGGGCAGGGCACCGTTACAATGACACCTACCCGCTGTCCCCTCCCCAGAAAAACCCCGAGGGCGTGCGCTACCGCATCGGCGTCATCGCGGACCTGGACACGCAGTCCCGGGGCTCCCAGGAGCACACCTGGTTCAGTTACCTAAAGAAGGGCTACCTGGTGCTGTCAGACAGTGGGGACAGAGTGACAGTGGAGTGGGACAAGGATGAGAGCATGCTGCTTTCCCACCTGGCTGAGAAGGGCCGGGGCATGGAGCTGTCGGAGCTGGTGGTGTTYAATGGGAAGCTGTACGCCGTGGATGACCGGACAGGCGTGGTCTACCAGATCGAGGGCAACAAGGTGGTGCCCTGGGTGATCCTCCCGGACGGGGATGGCACTGTGGGGAAAGGTGAGCTCCCATTGTGCCCTGTGAAGYCCTGGGCTCTTTTCAGCTTGCTGGAGTGGGTGACACCTTTCCTGTGACCTCTAAGCCTGGCCAAGACTGGGCAATTGCTGCTGAGGGACCAGCTGTCTGCGTGGGGGACACTGCCCAGTGCTGGGCTCTGGGGTGTGGGGTTTGGGGTGTGTGGGACATCTGATGGCCATGTGTTGAATCCCCTCATGCCATTCTTTCCACCACAGGCTTCAAGGCRGAGTGGCTGGCGGTGAAGGATGAGCACCTGTATGTGGGAGGACTGGGCAAGGAGTGGACCACCACAACAGGGGAAGTGGTGAACGAGAACCCCCAGTGGGTGAAGGTCATTGGCTACAAGGGTGACGTGAGCCACGAGAACTGGGTGACAAACTACAACGCACTGAGGGCTGCAGCAGGGATCCGGCCTCCAGGTACGGAACCTCCTGCCACCCCACATCCCACACCCTTGGTGGCTCCAGAGCCATGCAGTCAGCCTCTCCAGGAATACTGGCACTGCGTGAGATTTAAAGGCTGTTGGAGGCCAGAGATTGCCCCCTTTCCTGGTCATTTTTCTCCACTGCCTGTGCCTGGAGCAGCTGAAGGATGGCTCAGCTGGCACTGGGCTCCCAGGCAGAGCGGGGTGTGCTGGGTGCCCCTGCCKGGCTCTGGGAGGAACTGGGGGGCTGCTGCCAGCCAGTGGGGCAGGAGGAAGGGAAACATTCATGTGCAGGGCTGTGAGGTGTTTGGAGGGGAGGGAGAGGGTCCTGTCCCAGCCTGGCTGGTGGCCCTGTGGCYCTGTGGTCTCACTCCACTTCCTGCCGCAGGGTACCTGATCCACGAGTCRGCCTCCTGGAGCGACACGCTGCAGCGCTGGTTCTTCCTGCCGCGCCGCGCCAGCCACGAGCGCTACAGCGAGAAGGCAGACGAGCAGCGAGGCACCAACCTGCTGCTGAGCTCCACCCAGGACTTCAGCGATGTGACAGTCGGGCGTGTGGGAGAGGTGGTTCCCACCCACGGCTTCTCCTCCTTCAAGTTCATCCCGGACACGGACGACCAGATCATCGTGGCGCTGAAATCGGAAGAGGACAATGGCAAAATCTCCAGCTACATCATGGCCTTCACGCTGGACGGGCGCTTCCTCCTGCCTGAGACCAGGATTGGCAGTGTGAAGTACGAGGGCATTGAGTTTATTTAAGACTTTTGGACCAAGTGGAGGGGTGCAGGCAGCCTGGGGATGTGGGCAGGCTCTGCCAGCCTGCTCCTAGCCCAGGCTCTGGGAGGGATGCCAGGCAGTGCTGCTGCCTCTGTCCTTGGCTCTGGGCTCTCCCCTTAAAGTGTTGACTGAGCTGCAGCAGGTGTGGTGCAAGTGTTTCGGCAGTGGCACCTGGTGGCAAGGGACTGCCACCACAGGGTGCTGCCAGCCCCGGGGACAGTGTCTGTGTCCTGGAGTGCTGCCGCCCAGGCTGGCCCCACTGCAGCCCTTGCACCCAGCCCCGAATTGCGACACAACCATCTGCAGTGGGTCGGTGCCTCTGATCATGTCCACGTTCTGGGTTTGCATCTGAGCCCCAGCTCTGCAGCTCTGCCTTGTGTGCCACAGGGCTTCCCAGGTGGAGTGGGTCAACCTAAGGGATTTCATCAGGCTTTTTCTCCAGAAGCTGGTTTTCCTTTTCCCATAAGCTGGTTTTCCTTTTCCCATAAGCTGGTTTTCCTTTTCCCATAAGCTGGCTGAGGCAATGGCTGGGTGACGGGTGGCCTGTTTCTGGAAAAAGCCCATGGGAGGGGACAGTGTCTGTGTCACTGTGCTCGTGTGACTGCAGTAATGCAGCAGTTCCTCAGCACTGTGGCTCCATCACGGTGGCTGTGCCTGTGGGACAGGAGGAGCGAGTGCAGGTGACAGAGCCACCAGCTGTGGCCAGATGTAGTGTGGGCCCATCCCAGTGCCATTTCCAGCCCATCCCCTCAGAGATGTGTGTGTGTGCTGGCCATGTGTCTCTCCAAGCCCTGGCTGCGCACAGCTCCAGGCTCAGAAGTGCCTCCAGCCCCAGAACTATCAGCTGTGGGAAGAGCTGAGCCCTGGACAGGAGCCGCTGGCGGCTGGCAGCAGYGTGGCTGTGCTGTCCAAGGGCTGCTGTGCTCAGGAGCAGAGCCAGGAGCACCAGCTCTGCTTCTCAGAGCCAGCAGCAGCTCWGAAGTGTTTGCAGCAGCCCGACGCTTTGGCTGGGGAGCCCTCCCCACGCTCGCCAGCACGTTGTGAAATCGCAGCCGCAGCCTGTGGTCCCCAGGAGGAACTTGTGCAGTTTCAGGAGCCAGAAGTGTCAAAGAGGCATCTGGTGGCCCTGGGGCCCTCCTGACCCCTCTGACCGAGGGGGCTGCAGCTCCTGGCCTGCCCACACTCCCTGTCTGAGCCCTGCCCTGCCCCAGGTCACAGGCAGCGTATCCTCACACCAGGACTGGAATTGGCTCTGTGGTGTCCCTGCTTTGGTCCCTGCCAACACTCTGTCCCCAGGGTAGGTCTGTCAGCAAGTGGGGCTCAGAGAGCTGGGCCTTGCCGTGTGCTTTGGGGGCCCTGGTGCCCTGGCACCGCTCTGCTGCGGGGTCCAGCTGTGCTCAGGGAGGGAGAGGGCCTGTTGGTGCAGCAGTCAGGCTTGCTGGGTGGAAGGATCCTCAAAATGGATGGAGCCCTCCCAAACCCAGCCAGGCTGCTCCCCCCGTGCCTGTTTACAGTGTCAGCACCTCCGTGAGCCGTGTGGAGCACAGACAAGGCTGGACATGTGTTTTCATTTAGGCCAGACTGACTCGGCCAGTGCTGGGCTGCAAGCAGATGCRCTCGTCTCTGGACACAGACCTGTCCCCAGTGCCCTGGGCAGACCTGGCTTTAGCTCCTGAACGTGGCCTTGGCATCGTGCAGCACCAGCCCAGTGCACCCAGGACACGTTTGAAGCCCACCCTGGGCACCAGCTGGCCACAGTCCACGCTGGCCACTCAGCCATCACTTGTGCTTTGCTTGGCAGTCTCTGCTCCTCTCTCGCCCTCCTAGCCSAGCACTGGCAGCTCCACAGCACCTGTTACAGCCCCGGGGCTGTGCCAGTGGCTGTCCCTGCTGCCTGGCCCTTTCTCGTCCCCTGAAGCATCCCTGGGGCCCAGCCCTGAGCCCTGCCGTGCCCTCAGAGCAGCAGCACCAATGCCTCGGGCAGCTGGACCAGCGAGAATCGTGCTGCTGTCAGAGCCTCTGCAGACGTGAGCTGCACACTGCACCCTGTGCCCCATCCAGGTGTTATCCACATCCCAGTGCTGTCAGTGCTGTCACATCCCTCGTGTTCCTTTCAGGCTCAGGCAGGCTTTGGTCCAGGTGCATCTGCCCAGTCCCGCTGTTTSTCCTCATCCCAGAGGCTGAGCAGCTCCAGTACCTCCCTCTCCTGCAAGGATCTGTGGCAGTGCTGTGGCAGGAGGCTGCCTCAGGAGCAGCTTTYGTGGCCATGCTGGTGGCTGTGCCTGCCAACACATCCCTGTGACACCTGGCCTGGCCGTGCTTGGAAAGTGTCCCTGCCCAGAGGCAGAACTGAGCTCCCTGCCCACCTTACTGGGACAAAGGCACTGGTCAGGAGATGGAGAGCTCCCAGTAGCCAGCCAGGCACAGAGTACAGGGACAGTGACAGCAGCAGCATCCCGACACCTCCACGGGGCCACACTGTGGGTTTTGACTGGGATAGAGTCTGTGTTTTCCATATTACATGGTGTAGGGCAGTGTTTYGGATTTGTGCTGGAAAAGGCGTTAATAACAGGGATGTTTTCACTACTGCTGAACAGCATTTGCACAGCTTGAGGCCTGTTCTGCTCTTCATCCCACCAGCAAGGGGCCAGGGTGGCACAAGGAGTCAGGAGAGGACACAGAACAGAACAGCTGACCCAAGGGAGATTGCAGCACAGCTCGACATACAGAGTTGGGGGAAGATGGGGACATTTGGGATGATGGCGTTTRTCTTCCCAAGTCACCATCACATGTCCTGGAGCCTGGCTGCCCTGGGGGTGGCTGAGCACTTGTTTGTCATGGAGAGGGGTGAAAGAATTCCCTGCTTTGTTTTGCTTTGCTTATGTGTGGCTTCACCTGTAAAACTGCCTTTATCTCAGCCCAGCAGTTTTCTCATTTTCACCTTCCCAGTTCTCTCACCACACTCCTGGGAGAAATTAGCCAACGGGCTAATGGGCTGAGCTTCCCACCGAGGTTAAACGCCATCGTGCATCCAGGTTAGGGACAAGGTGGGTTTTGGAACTGTGCTCCGAGGCAGGAGCCGCAGCCGAGGGGGAGAGGCCCGAGGCTTGGGGCAGGTCGCTGTGGCACAGGACCCCCAGTGGGAGCGGGCAGCAGGCAGGGGAACTCGGGTGCGGGACAAGCTGGGTTGGAGGGGCCGGAGGTGGGGAGGAACTCGGGCACAGCCAGAAGCAGTGCGTGTCCGGCAATCCACTGCTCTACTTGGCGTGGGCGGCAGCAGCTTCGGAGCGGGGGTTTGGGCTCCGTGGGCAGGGGTCCGGGGCTGGGGGTCCCGGGGCGGGGGTCCAGCAGCAGTGGGGCCGGGGACGGACGGGATGGACGGGGCGGGGGCCGCGCCGGGGCGGGGGCAGCGGTCGCGGCGGAGCCGCATCCCGCGGAGGGCGGGCGCAGCCGGGCTGGCCCCGCGCCACGCGGAGGAGGAGCAGCAGATCCCCGGAGCACGATAAAGAGCGAGGCCGAGCGCGGCGGGGAGGAAGCGAACGGCTCCGTGGAAGCAGCGGAGCCGCGGCCGCAGAGCGCCCGCCCCGGCCGGACCCGAGTTCCCGGCGGCGGCTCGGCCGGGCCCGGCGGAGGGTGCGGGATCGGGGCCGGGTGGCCGCGCCCGCAGCCCCGCACCATGCCCGCCGCACTGCCCAGCCTCCTAGCCTGGCTGGCGGTGTTGCTGCTCGGCAGGGCCCGCCCGGCCGACGCCTGCAGCTGCTCGCCCATCCACCCGCAGCAGGCCTTCTGCAACGCCGACGTAGGTGAGCGCTGAGCGCCGCGGGATCCCCGCCCCGAGCCCCCCGAGCCCCCGCCCGGCCCGGCCCGCACCAACTTCCCGACGGGGAAGGAGCGCAAAGTTGGCGCGGGGCGGGCGGGGAGCGGGCAGAGCCCCCCGAACCCGCACCCGAACCCGCACCCGAACCCGCACCTGCCCGCAGCCCCGGCGGCCCGGGGGTGTGGCGGGGCTGCAGATGCGCGGCCGGGCGCGGTCCCTCCGGCCGGGCTGTGCCCGTCCCACCCGCACCTCCTCCCGCCGGCTCGGGTGGGGCTCCAGCATCGCTCCCCGGGGCTGCGAGGGGTGGCCGCTCCCCGCTGAGTGACACGGGTGGGCCCGGCCTCCCCCACTCTGATGACACCGCAGAGGTACGTGGCAGCGCGGGGCTGGGGCCCGGGGGTGGCCAGGACCCTCCGAGCGCGGCCACGGCAACGGCCCGGAGCCCGGAGGAGCAGCCCGGCCCCGGCAGCCGCCCCCACGGCTCGGTCACCCCTGTCTGCGCCTTATTTCCAGGCATTTCCTTTCCCCCGTCCCACTTTGTTCGGCTTGGATGCTGCTGAAAGGGAGGGCTTGGCAGCGCCGGGATCTGGATTCCTCTTTCTATGAATAATGCCCTTATTAAATTTTAACATATGAACTGAACAGGCCAGCCCCAGTTCCCGGCACTTTCCTTCGCGGGGCCGTTCCCAGGCTCAGCTGGAGAGGTAACATTCCCRAACACTGAGGCAGCCCCAGCCTCCGGATAGCCCTGCCCTGTCTCCTGCTCCAGATCCAGGATGTTCCTCACAGGCTTCCCTTCCAGACCCCGCTCCCAGCGTCTTTCCTCTGTCAGGGCGACTCCCACAGCATTTGGCTGCTGCCTCGCCTGCCCAGCCCCACCACGAGGCAGCTGGGGACAAGGAGGTTTTGAGACAAGATGGAGTTTTGGATTTTTGGAGCTGCTGCTGGAGCTGGTGTCCCTGGCCCYCAGGATGCCCTGTGCCCGCTCTGGCAGCGCGGCTGCGGCTTCCCATCACGCTGCTGTCAGGATCGGCTTTCGGGCCACTTGTGACTCACTGCCCGTGGTGGGGTGCCGGCTCAGCCCTGACTCAGCTGCTGAGTCACCGTCTGTCGTGGCGGCCCTGGCTGCCTCCACATCCCTAGGAGGGCACTGCCTCGCTGAGCTTTGGTCTCCAGCTGCCCCGCTGCCCTCAACAGGTGCCCATCCTGCCTGCCTCCCGAGCAGCATCCTGCCAGCCACGCTGCAGCAGYGCTGGCACCTTTTGGCTCCCAGCCCGAGTCCCTCGTGCAGCTTGCCTGTGTCAGATGTGCCTCGTGTGGGCCCAGCTGGAAACAGTGCTGGTCCTGGGGACAGAGTGGGGCACCGCCTGAGATGATCCTGWGTTCCCTGGCCTTTTGCTGCCTCTCATCTCCCTGGGTGCTCTCTGGAGCTGGGATGCTCCTCAGCCAGTTCCATCCCTGAGGTGTGGAGCCCTGGAGAACCTGGGGCCTCTGCTGCTGGGACCTTTCCCAGTGGCTGCAGGGATTCATGTCCAGCTGGGCCTTTGACAGAGACGTGGTGCTGTGAGGGTGGCTGATGTCCTGCAGCGCTGGGTGGCTGGACCCAAGGTGAATAACGAGCCCCAAGGCTCATGCTCAACCCTCAGTACAGGACATCAGGGTGAGCAGTGTGGGGTCCTGGCTCTGGGATCTCCTCTCTGTAGTGTGGGGTCCTGGCCCTGGGATCTCCTCTCTGTAGTGTGGGCAGCATCTGCCCCATTCCTATGGCCCCTCTGGCCGTGCACCCACCCCTGCACTTGCTCTGCCGTGGAGTGGGACTGGAGCAGCCCCAGCCCAGGGCTGCGCTTGTAGGTGGTGCAGGAGGATGTGGATGCAACTACGTTGGGCATGGGGTGCCTGAGGGGCTGGGGGTCACAGCTGGGTTGTGTCACTGGGGCTGGGAACTTAGAACCTGCCAGCCTGTGCTTGTGTGTCCTGGCTCAGGAGATGGGCAGGGGTTTTCTGGGGCTGCCCATCCTCCGTCCCTCACTGGGGCTGTGCACAGGCAGTGGGGTCTGTGCTGCTCTGCTGGGCTGCTCTGCAGCAGGACATGCTTGGCACCACTGTGATGCCCACTGGCCCCACAGCCAGGCAAGGAGCCACAGCAGGAAATGTGGCTTCTGCTCAGCCTTGGAGCAGTGTGGGGATGTGGGGTGTGAGGGGGTGATGCTGTGGCTTTGCCCCTGTGTAGCAGCACCGTCTCCAGRAGGGCCCGATGGGGCAGGGGACAGCAGGGACCTGGTGCTGCCTGGGGCGGGGGCAGCTGGGATGCAGCCCCTGACAGCACTGCCCTGATCCAGCCGTGCAGTGCTCGGCTCCTCAGGACAGGCACGGGGAGGGTGAGGGCTGCCAGCAGCCGGCAGGGACCGGGCATGGGAGGGGATTTTACTGAGAGTGGGAGCTGTCCCTGTGGCGGGGTTCAGCTGTCAAAAACCCCGCCGGTCCTGGCGGGGCCGGGCAGCTGCCAGTGCCCGGTGCCACCTGCTGAGCACTGCAGCCGGAGCCCTTCGGTGTGGGTGGCACAGAGGGGCTGTGGGCTGACATGGGGCTGTCACTGATTGGGCTCCATCCGCTCCCGGCAGGGCCGGGGTGACACACGCGGGGTGGCTCCCACACACCCGGACCCGGGGTGACACACGCGGGGTGGCTCCCGCAGGACCCGCACCACATCCTGGCTGAGCCGTGCCACGCTGCTCTCACCGCCCCGGGGGCATGGCTGGGCACACGGGGCATTGCTGGGGACATTTTTGGGCACATGGGAAACACCGTGGCCTCCCTGCTGCAGGGCTGCCCTGCCAGACCTGCACACCTCCAGCCTCAACATCCTCAAACCACTGTGCCAGGGTGGGGTACCTGCTCTGCTGCCACTGCAGATGCTGGCATTGCGATGTGAGCAAGCACCTGGGGTGTAATTGTTGTCCTTGTGCCAGCAGGGCTGGGGTGCAGGACTCCCTCCCAGGGTGGTTTGGCAGCTCTGCCAGCCTCAGGCAGGGCTGGAGTGGCTCTGCCCTCACCACGGGGTCAGGTTCTGGACTGGCAGTGCCAGGCAGGCAGCAGGCAGTGGAGAAGGGAGCTTTGTTCCCTGGGCATCCAGCCCAGCAATGGCCCCTGCTGTCCRTGGGCACTGRCACTTCCCAGGCAGCRGCGGGTGGGTGTGGGCAGGRGGTTTGGTGGGGTTTGGGGTGAGATGGCAGAGGAAGGAGCAGCCATTCTGCAGGTCTTGGGCCACAAGGGCAGTTCCATGGCCCAGGGTCCTTGTGGGGCCCTGAGATGGGGTAGCCCCACATGGGGCCAGGGAGGAGAGACCCCAACACTGGCAAGCCCAGAGAGACAAGCTGGTGKTTTTATGGCACTGGGTGACTCTGTGCATCCCCAGCTTTGCTCCTGGAGCTGCACTGCGGCCCTGGTTCATCCTGGCTGATCTGTGCCATCACCCAGTCAGGGGAATGGTCACTGGGGCAGGGTCCTGGGTCATAGTGTGGGATACTTCGTGGTGGCACTATGGCATCTGCTGGTGCAGGGGGACTGACGCTGGTGGCAGAGGGCAGCAAGGGCATCTGATCACCTCGCAGGGTCTCTCTGTCCCTGAGAGGGCACAGAGTCCTCACTGCAGGGAGGTCACAATGGCAGCCTTGGGCAGCAGCACAGGAGATGTCACCAGTGGAGGTCCCACTCTGCCAGGAGGGGACCACACCAGGGAGCACCTTCCTGCTGGGCCTGCCTGGTGAAGGAGCATTTCCAGCATTTCCCTGGTCAGACCTGGTCATCCGGTGCTGACAGTGTGCTGTGCCCACCCTGTGCCCCAGGAGCCTCGGCTCAGCCTCACAGAGGCTCTGGGTTCCCTGGCAGCAGGAGAGGTGGGTGACAAAGCTGATGGGGTGATTGGCATTTGGGAGGTGTGACTATTGGGCACCGGGGGTTTCTCCATTCCCTGTCCCAGGCTCTCCCGGGGCTGCCCCGGTTCCTGGCGGGCGTGGAGCAGCTTGGCTGCACTGCGGGGTCTTGGCGGGGAAAGCGCAGCGCAGCCATCCCCTCCACAAAGCTGCACTGTTCAGAACAAATCCACCCAGAATTGGGCTGCATTTTTGTCAAGTGATTCATCAGCACGTGAATGGAAAAGGCTGGAGCCCACTGAACCAGTAACCATTCCCCGAACAGGAGCCACAGGGCCAGCACTCAGTGCACCCGAGTTACTCCGGTGATGTGCAGGGCTGGCACAGGGACACGCGGTGGCTGCAGGGGTGACGGGTGCCCTGTGCTTGTGGTGATCCTGGCACGCTGCTGACAGAGGAGTGGGCTGTCCCCAGGCATGGCTGAGGTGCTGTCACTGTGCCTGGGCAGCCCAGTGCGTCCCAAGGGATGGGAAGGTCCCCAATGCTGCCGGTGACCGTGGATGGCCATTTTGGGAATCCTCTTCCCTGGTCCCTGCTCATGTTGGTGCCACTCTTGCCTTTCCAGAGTGAACTCTGTTGGCACTTGCTGGTGCCCACATGGGACCGTGCCCCCCTGACCTTCAGCTTAAATAGCCTGTGCTCGTGCCCCCACATCCCACGGTATTTATAGAGCACGGTCAGATTCCCTCTCCTGGCCATGCCAGGTGGGAGAAGCTCCTCTGTGCCAGGCAGTGGTGACCTCTGCATGTCCCCAGCTGCTCCCAGCCCAGCACCTTTCAGTGAGGACACGAGCCCGGATGAACTGGGAGAGTGCCCAGCTCCCTGTCCCCTGCCCCACAGCGCTCAGGGGGGTGGCAGTTGTGTGGGGGTACCCCTGGCAGAGCAGGGAGCCCTGCCAGCCCCCGCCCTGCAGCCACTACCCCATAGGGCTGAGCAGTGGCTCTGGTTTCAAGAGTGCCACTGTCACCATTCGCATCCCTGGTGCTCCCTGAGAGCTTCAATCCGCACTGGTGGAGGGAGCTGGGCAGGACTGGGGGCTGCAGGTCTCAGTGCAGGGAGCGTGGCACTGAGCCAGCCCCATGTCCCAGGGTGAGTAAGGCTGAGCTGGCTGCCCGCCCTGCCCTCCTGGCACCCTGTGGGTCACTGCCACGTGCCCAGCGCTCACATGCYGGACTGCGTATCCGGGGCTGTGCCAGCAGCACGACCACAAGGATGGTGCCACAGCAGAGCTGTGCCCTGGCTCACAGTGSCACAGCCTTGCCAGCCCCAGGGCCRGGCCATCCTGGGTCACAGTGTGTGTGAACTTTCCTTATCACCCGCCTTGGGAGTGCTGCTGCGATGCTGCTGATCACTGCTCTGCACGTGCMRRASCSYCTCCCTTTGGGGACAGCAGGGGACAGCCAGCTGGGCAGGCAGCGGGGTCTGAGACCCTGTGGGATGTGGGGACTGAGTGGTGACCCCCACTTACCTCACGTCTCCCTTGCAGTGATCCGAGCCAAGGCCGTCTCTGCGAAAGAGGTGGATTCGGGGAATGATATATACGGGAATCCAATCAAACGCATCCAGTATGAAATCAAGCAGATCAAGGTAACATGGGCTCAGGAGGCTGGGGGGATGGGGTGGCCCCAMAACCACCTCTCACTCCTGCCTCTGCTCCCCAGATGTTCAAGGGCCCTGACCAGGACATAGAGTTCATCTACACGGCTCCATCCACTGCCGTGTGYGGCCGGCTGCTGGACACCGGCGGGAAGAAGGAGTATCTCATCGCAGGTGGGCACTGCAGGGAAGGGCTTTGGGGATGTTGGGGCAGTGCTGGCCCTGCTGTCTCATATGCCCTGCAAGATGCCACACACGTGTGCCTGCTGCCTGGGCACATTTTCCCCTTGCCCCTCCTGCTCCCACCTCCAGCCCTCAGGGAACCCCCTGGCTGTGTTCTGGCTGTGCTTGGCAGCCCCGGGCCATGGAGGGGGCAGTGGGGGACGAGCTCTGCTCCCCTGGGGTCACCAGGGACAGGGGACAGCGAGGGGCCCCTGGCACCACGAGTCACTGCGGGGTCTCGAGGCGCTGGGGACACTCCCTTGACTGATCTGTCTGACCTCTACCCAGGCAAGTCAGAGGGCAAYGGCAAGATGCACATCACACTCTGTGACTTGGTGTCCACCTGGGACTCGCTGACCCCAACCCAGAAGAAGAGCCTAAACCAGCGGTACCAGATGGGCTGCGAGTGCAAGGTGAGCAACCAGGCTGCCCCTCCCCGTGCCCCACAGCAGGGAGGGGCTGCAGCCCTCAGGCAGGGGTGGGCTCCACAGGGGGATGTTCTTTCCTGTCCCTCAAGAATGCTGCTGTGCAGGGACAGCACGTGGCCGGGCAGACAGGAAGGGCAGCCAAGCCTGTGGCTTCCTCTGGCTGGGAACCGAGGCCASCCCTGGGATTGGCACACAGGGGTTCCCCAGTTCCCACTGGGGCTGCATCCCCAGCGTGCCCCACAGGGCAGGGCCAGCCTGGAATCCTTGTCTAGAGCTGTGCACGACCCCCAGCCTGGCTGCCCTGCACTGCTTCCCCCCAGCCCAGTGTCCCCTCGGTTTGGTGGGTGACCATCTCTGTCGTGCACAGATCTCGCGCTGCCTCTCCATCCCCTGCTTCGTCTCCTCCTCGGATGAGTGTCTCTGGACAGACTGGGCAATGGAGAAGAACAACGTGGATGGGCGGCAGGCAAAGCACTACGCCTGCATCAAGAGGAGCGACGGCTCGTGCGCCTGGTACCGCGGCATGGCCCCCCCCAAGCAAGAGTTTCTCGACATTGAGGACCCCTAAGCCAAACGAGCGCATTCCAGTAGCCAGTAGAAAAAACCYGCAAGATGTTAGACTGGTCCACACTGATATCAAATCCCGGAGACAGCATGAAAATCCACTCGGCTGCAGGGGRTCCCAGTGGCTGCCACATGCATGTGAGGGACAGGGACAGCCTGCTCTGTGGCAGGCTCCTGGCAGCCCATAGCCACACTGGGCATCCTGGCAGGGCTGAGCAGGGTGTGGGGAGCTCCCTGCCGGGGTCACGATCCCCCAGCCACGCTTGGCCCTGTAGCTGTAAAGGAATCAAGCCCCTGTGAGTGCCGGAGCTGCCCTGGCTGTGTAGCAGGTCTACCAGTGCCCCGCTGCAGGAGCGTCSCCGCAGCTCCAGCCAGGCAGCCCTGGCCACTGCAGCACCTGGAGATGCCACTGTCCCCTCCCCAYCCCCAGCCAGCTCYTCCTTCRGGTKCCAGAAGGGCAGGGGCTCCTGGGGGGCTTTAGCATGCAGCAGAACCCCCAGCAAGGGGCTCTGGGCCTTTCACCGGGCCAGACCACTCCTGTGCAGGTGCCTTGTTCCAGAAAGTGGAGGGGCATGCTAGCATAGCTGGGGTGACGCGTGACATGCACCCGGCACTGCTGCCCCATCTCTACATGCTCCTCTCTCTCCAGTGGGCTCCATTCCTCTACAGCTTCCTGCAGGTCCTTCTGCAGCTGCCACCATCGGACAGGCTTGGCCTGGAACTCTGGGCAGGGCACCAGGGGCTGGAGCTCTGGCTGCACTGGCACAGGGTGTCCATCATCGCCTCGTGCAGCTCTGGCACCACTGCAGCCACGAGAGCTCCTTTCTTTGYGGTGCTGGGAATGGAGCCTGGAACCGGCAGCAGGGCAGCTGCAGGGAAAGCCGTCCCCTCTGGTGACCCCACACCCCTCGGCCCCAAGTTCTCCGAGCCATCCCCATGCCACAGCGATGCTGGCGTGTGCGGCACGGCCAGGGTACCCATGGCTATGGGAGTGCGCCGGGAACGCTCCCAGCAGCCCTGCGCCGGGGGCGTTTTCATGCTGTGCGTCCCTGYAAGGTTTGAGATGTCGCACTGGACCAGTCTGAGCAATTTCAACATATTAAAGAGAAAAATTAAAAAGAAAGAAAACGAAAAAATACCCCCAACCTTTACTCAGTCCCGACCGCGCATTCCGGGCGCTCTGTATGGCTGTACCCGTTGTGCTCCTGTCGCTGCTGCTCCTCTGTCTTTGACTTCAATATCGCCACTTGTTTTGCCGCCGGCTYTGTGGTCCCTGTGCCGTGATTTCCGTCTCCTCCCCGGTAACGTGCCGTGAGCTCCGTGCCGGGAGCTCCAATGCAGGGGGGAAGCGGGGCGGGGTTGCTGCTGTTCCGGTTCGGCCGTGCGACGGCTCTGCCGGAATCGCCCCGGTCCCAGCGCTCCTGCAGCTCCAACCGGACACCCCGGGCGCTCCTCAGCCGCGGAGAGAGGCGATCCCCGGGGCCGCCGGAGGGAAAGGAACGAGACAGCGAGGGGAAGAACTGCTGCCGGACCGCCTTCGGATGCCGGCGGAACGCTGAGCGCGGGGTCCGACGGGACCGGCAGCACTCCGGGAGCGGGACCGGAGGAGGCGGGACCGGGGTTCGAAGGGGCGGGACCGGGGCCGGGCACCAGCGCATCGTGGCGGGACCCGCGTGGAACCGCCCGCCGTGGGAGCGGCCGCCGCCTGCCCCGTGCGCACCGGGACTCGCAGCGGACTCGGGCGGAGCTCCTCTCTCCGTCCGCTCCTCCGAACCAGGGGCGGAGCGCACCCGGGCCGGGGCTGCGCCGGGCGGGCCGCACAGAGGCGGAGCGGAACCGCCCCGCAGGGCCGGCGCCGAGCGAGTTTGTGCCGGTGGCGGGCGAGCGGCTCTGCGGTGACACGTGCGAGCGGCGGAGCCCGCATGGTGAGCGCTGCCAGGACCGGGCACGCCGCGATCTGCGCCCCGCTCCCGCCGCGCTCCTCTGCCGTGCCGGCGGGGCTGCCACGGGGAGCGGAGCGCCGGGACGGGCGGGCCGCACATGGCGGCGGCAGGGCCGGGCCGGGGCCGCGGGTGGCGGAGGGCGGAGGGCGCGGTGCCTGCGCTGGGCAGGGACCCGCTGAGAGGGTCGGGGCGGCGGCCGGGCGCTCTGAGAGCCCGAGCGGGGCGGGACGGATCGTGCCGGGCCGGTGCCCCCGCTCAGCCCCCGCTTCCCTCCGTCCCTCCCCAAAGGCACGGCCGCCGGGCCCGCCGAGCCGGGCGCCCACGGCGCTGATCGCGGAGAAGCTGCGGGAGGCGCTGGAGCCGGGCCGGCGGGAGGCGGTGGCGGTGGCGGAGCTGGGCCGGCCCTTGGCCGCCGCCGCCCGCTCCGTGCTGCAGCAGCGCATCGAGTTCGCGCCCGCCCGCCGCGGCCTGGCCGGCCAGCTGGGGCACCTGCGGGACAAGTACGAGCACATCGGGGCCGACACCCCCGGCCGTGCCCCCGGCATCACCAAAAACCTTCCGGAGCGGCCACAGCACCCGCAGGGTAAGTGGAGAGGGTGGAGGGTCCCGCTGTGCTCCTGCCCCCGTTTACCCTGTGCTCTCTGCAGGTCCCAGCCATGCCCTGCCCCGGCATGGGGCATCCTCTGACGGCATCCCTGAGCCGCAGAAGGTTCTGTTCCCGGCCCAGCGCCTCTCCATGACCTGGGATCGGGTCCACCGTGTGGGCGCCGGGCTGAGCAACCTGGGCAACACCTGCTTCCTGAACTCGGCTCTGCARTGCCTGACGTACACAGCACCGCTCACCAACTACCTGCTGTCCCGGGAGCACGGGCGCTCCTGTGAGTGGGGACCCTGCGGGGCTGGGAGGGACGAGCAGCTCTGCACAGCGCCCGTGTGCCTGCTCTGCTGAGGATGCACCTTCCCTGCCCTACTCTTTCTTCCTGTTTCTCTGACAAGAGGCCGTACCTGGGTCCAATTCACTTTTCCTGGCTGTAGTAACGTTCCCAAGTTGGGCATCTTTGTCTCTGGGGGGATTTTATCTCAGCTGGGTGTAGCCAAGGGCTAAGGTGGGCCCAGTGGGGCTTACTGGCTTCTTGGGGGCTGGGCTGAAGGGTTCTGAATAGCCCCTGACTGGAGGGACTGTGGAAGGGCAGCGTGGCAGGCCCTGCTCTGCGCTGTCACCACAGGGAGCACAGCTTGCAGCCCTATCCATAGGACTGCAGTGGGATCTGCCCCTTAGGACCAACCTATGGGCTTGTCCWGTGCATACCTGGGACCTGTTTTCTCTCCATGTGAATGCTGTGTCATCGGGGGAGCCTCTGTGGCTGGTCCTGTGATGGGCTGTGCCACTCAGAGTGGCATGGGCTGGTCCCCATGGCCCAGACCATCAAGCTCAGATGGAAAACCAAGTATGGCTGAGCTGTGTTGGACCAGAGATCTCCTGTGCTGCCTCCACCTCTCCTGGGTTTGTCCCCAACGTCGTGTCATCTCTCCTGCTCCAGGTGCCCACGGAAGCTTCTGTRTGATGTGCACTATGCAGAACCACGTGATACAGGCTTTTGCCAACAGCGGCAATGCAATAAAGCCACTCTCCATCATCCGAAACCTCAAGAGTAAGGAGGGCTGCCCTCCCCACAATCATTTATGTGGGAGCATATTGGGATTGGAGCTTATTTTATCAAATGGCTCCACTGARATGCCTCATGGAGCCTCAGAGTGCCTGGTGACTACTTGGGCTGCCAGGGGCTTCCTGTGTGACATGAGTCTGATGTTTGGTTTGGGTTGAGAGGGCTCAAATCCCAGAGTCCTTGCCCCAGGGAAGGCAGGGAGGGATAGCATCTGTTGCTGCACATGCTAAGTCCTCYCTCTCTTGTAGAGATTTCCCATAACTTGCACTTCGGCAGGCAGGAGGATGCKCATGAGTTCCTGCGTTGCACCATCGATGCCATGCAGAAGGCCTGCCTGAATGGCTACACCAAGTATGTGAGATTGTGATGGCCCATTGCTGCTCTTTGGGGTCCCCTMCACCCATGGGAGTGAACTGGAGTGAGCATGTGCCCCTGGTCAGTCTTATTGTAGGGGGGTTCTGGCTCCAGGGGTATTGGGTATGGGGTTCAGCTCTGCCCCTCAGAACGTGGCTGTTTACTGTTCACCTTCTCCTGGCTCCTGCACCTCATCACAGCTGCAGTCCTGCCCCCAAATCCTGAGGCTGATACCAGTGGGATTGCATCCCAATTGCTGAGGGATCCTGGGACACTGGTTAGCTCAGCCCCAGCCCTGTGGCTGTGGGAGAACAGCTTCCCCCAGGTCTGCCATCCTGGGAARGGCTCTGCTGTCAGCACCCAGCTCTGAGCTGGTGTGAGCAGCTCRGATTTGAGAGGAAGGTGTGAGCAGTGATTTCTCACTGCTTCTGGAGCTCCACAGCCCATCCACCGGCCAGAGCATGGAGCAGGGCTGTGCTGAGGGTGTCCTGAGGGTGTCCTGAGGGAAGCTGTTGCACTGTGACCCCGGTGTGAGATCTGTGCTGCTGTCTCTGTGTAGGTTGGATCGCCAGACCCAGGCCACCACTCTGGTTCACCAGATCTTCGGTGGTTACCTGCGCTCCCGKGGTGAGTACTGGCTGCCAGGGCCTGCACCTGGGCAGTAAAAACCCTTTGGCAAAATGGTTTAGCACTGTTTAATTTAAATGTGTAATTTATGCAGAACTGCAGTCAGTCAGTCCTGCAGTACTTGTGGCAATGGGAAAAGCCCTTGACTGTGAGACCCAAGTGTGGGTCCCCAGCTCATTGCCACCAGCAAAGGGACCCATGTTCCCAKCTATCCAGCAACATCTGCTCCCCCAGCATACATGGATTTGCCAGCCCTCCTCCCTGCAAGGCTGTGAATCCTGGGGATCATATCCCTGAGCCCAAACCTGGCCTGGGGGGACGCTGCAGCTGTCTGTGCTCTGCTGGGGTGTGTTGGTGTTGTGCTAACCATGTGTGCTCATGGCTTTTGCTTTTGCAGTGAGGTGTTTGGAGTGCAAGACTGTCTCGGATACCTATGACCCCTATTTGGATGTGACGCTGGAGGTTGAGGTACCTACAGGGTTTGGGATGGGGGTCTCTGCTTTTGGGGGATGTTTGTGCTCTGAGGTTCATTAACCTGCAGCCGTGGTGCTGGCAGGAGGGGAGCAGCTCCTGCTCTTGCACTGCCTTCCCTGTCTCACTGAGCAGTGCCTGTGCCTGAGCGTGAGCTGTGGATGCTCCATGGTGGTTTGGGCAGTGCTGGGGGCAGAGCAGCTGCCATGCCAGGGCAGGCTCAGTGTTTGGGACAGCCTGCAGCCCTGTCCTGTGTGCTCTGTGCTGGGGGCAGAGCAGCTGCCATGCCAGGGCAGGCTCAGGGCTTTGGGACAGCCTGCAGCCCTGTCCTGTGTGCTCTGTGCTGGGGCAGAGCAGCTGCCATGCCAGGGCAGGCTCAGTGTTTGGGACATCCTGCAGCCCTGTCCTGTGTGCTCTCTCCAGCACCTTGGCAGGGAGTGGGGCTGTGGTGTGGATGGTCCCTTGTGCCCTGAGCTCCCCCCTGTCCTTGCAGCGAGCTGCCAACATCGTGCGGGCCTTGGAGCTGTTTGTGAAGCCAGAGAGGCTGGGTGGGGACAACGCTTACAGGTGCAGCATGTGAGTGAGTGTGGGGCACKGGGGGAGGATGGGGTACACAGGGGTGCTGCTGGGAGGGCTGTCATGATATKGGGGGGTTCTGTACCCGCCTCATGGCTAAACCACGAGGTGCAGGGCCAGGGAAGCCTGTGATGAAACCTGCTGCTCCTCAGCTCCCTCATCTTGCAAGGAGGACCTGAGCCAGCAGATGTGGCCATGGGCAAGTGTCTGGAGCAGCGCCTGGTGCCAGCAGTGTCACTCCCATGGGGTTTGCCATTGCTGTGTGGCCASGGCGAGCAGTCCTCGGGGTGTTGGAACAGCTTGAGCTTTTCCTGGGCAGGTGCAGGAAGAAAGTGCCAGCCAGCAAACGCTTCACCATCCACCGAGCCTCCAACGTTCTGACGATTGCACTGAAACGCTTTGGCAGTTGTGGCTCTTCAGGTGGAAGGAAAATCACCAAGGTGGGTGCTCAGTGATCCAGAGCCAGGGCTGTGTCCTGGCCCGAGGTGCTGCCCCCAGAGCAGGGTACGAGGGGTCCTGGTGCAGTCCTGCAACCATTCCCCACCACACTCAGTGGGGCAAGCTGAGGTCATCCTGGCATCTTCCTCACTGCAGTCTCTGCCTGGGGACAGCACATCACCTCCCTCATCCATGAGGGATGGAACTCACAGGACAGCAGAGCTGCTCTTGCAGCAAGAAAGCCATGCCAGTTTCTGAGACATCTTCTCTCCACAGGACGTGGGGTACTCTGAGTTCTTGGACATCCGCCCTTACATGTCTGAGCCCAAGGGCAATCCCATCACGTATGGACTCTATGCAGTGCTGGTGCACTCTGGGTACAGCTGCAACGCAGGCCACTACTTCTGCTATGTGAAGGTAAACCTGGGATGCTCTTTTGGCATCCTGTCTGGGCTGGGGGTGCTGGGTGCTTGTGGGTCCCTGTAGGGTGCAGAGAGGGGGGTGCTTAGCAGGGTGGGTGGTGTGGAGCACTGGGCRTGGGGCACAGACTCTGCTCTGCCGTGGGAAACGTGAAGATCTGCCCTAGCAGAGTTCCCTGGCCTGCCCTGGGCCATCTGGGGATTTTGGGGAGAGAAACTCTGTTCCTCTGCTCTGCAGGCCAGGAGGATCCCTGGCCAGAGCCTGACCCTGTTCTTGGACAAAGCCTGACCACATTCCCTCTTCTCATTCCCCAGGCCAGCAATGGGCAGTGGTATCGAATGAATGACCACGAGGTCCATCCCAGCAACATAAAGGTGGTCCTCAACCAGCAGGCCTACCTGCTGTTCTACCTGAGGTGAGAGAGCCCCCTGTGCCTCCTGGCCTATCTACCTGAGCCCAGGCAGCCCCAAAGCCCTGTGTGTGTGCTGGCTCCAGGTGGGGGTTGCAGGGAGGGGTCCAGCCCCGTGTTGTGGTGTTTTGTAGCACCTCACCTGCTCAGATTCTCTGTCTCTCCTTTCTGTGTGTGTGCTGAGTGTCCCAGCTCCCACACCCCATGGCTGATGTGCTTTGCCTTTCCCAGGAAGAGCTCGGCAGGGCCCGTGGCCAAGGCAGCCTCCAGCCTGCCCAGCTGCACTGGCAGTGACTCCAAACAGATGAAGAGGATGGAGATGAGCAGGACCCCATGTGTGCCACCCATGGGCACGGTGAGTCCCGAAGGTTGGTGCTCCTGGGTGTGCAGCCCTGCTGGGAGTGGGGGAGTGGGAGGATGTTGTGCAAGAGGGATCTTGTTTAACCCCGGGATCCTGGCTGGACAGGAGAAGGGCAGTGTCACTGTGTCTCCTTCACTCTCCTCACTGAACTCTCCTCCTTGTCTAGAAGCAGGAAAAGCTGCTGGGGAAGGGGCTGCCAGGCCCAGGTGATGTTGGAGTCCCTGTTGYCCGCAGCACTCCTGGGATGGGGTCAAAGCTCACAAACGGAATTGCTCTGTCCAAGCTGCCCCACAAAGCCACCCATGAGGCCACACCAGTGCCCCACGAGGCAGTCCAGAAGCCCAAGAAGCCACAGACCCCTGGCATGCCCAGAGCAGGTTTCCATGTCACCAGCACCATGAATGGGGCCAAAGCTGGGCTGCCCACACAGCACTCAGACAAGAAGCCTACCTCATCCAACCTGCCAAAGTCCAGTCAGGAGCCCAGTGGCTGTGGGGTGATGGCCAGGACCCTGAAGAAGGATTCCCATGGCAGTGTAGTAGGGCAGCTGGCCAAGGAGACCAACATGGCCAAGAGCAATTTCAGCAGCTCGTGCACCTTTCAGAGAAGGGACTCTGGCACCCACCTCCCTGCTGGCTCTGGCACCAAGCTGACAGTTCCCAAAGACTGTGACCCAGCTGGCCCCAAAAGCTCCAGGACAGGCACTGTGACCCCCTCCCTGCAGGGCAGTGCTGCACAGGAGCAGGGCAGCACCACGTCACCACTGCTGGCCAAGACACCAGTGCTCTCAGTCAAAAAGGTGAGTGTGAGCTCTGCCCAGAGACTCCATGGACATCCTGTGCCTTCTGAGCTGAGGGCAGGGGAAGTGTAGAGCTCCTGGCAGGCACCTGCTGACCAGGGTGGGTGGGAGTGTCCCCAGGGTGGGTGGGAGTGTCCCCCCAGCTCCCAGCCCAGGGCTGTGCTTTGCTCCCTCTTTGGGTCAGGGTGTGGGACCAGGCCCTGCTGTTTTCCACGTCCCTGAGTGATGCAGGGGATGGCTYCTGCCCCCCTGCCTGGGACAGAGGGGTGACTGTGCCAGTCCCTGCAGTGGAGTGGCCTTGGCACCTCTTTGGGGTTGTGTGTGCCCTGGGGCCAGTGGCAGCATGTGGGACTGGTCCTTGGTGCCACAGTGCAGCCAGGGCTCAGGACAGTGCACTGGGGTCCAGGTCTTTACATTTCTTTCCTTCCTTTTCTCCTTTGTTCTTCTGATTTTCCCACCCCCCCATTTCCCGACCCTGTGTCTGTTCTCCCCCTTCTCTGGGCTCCCCTTTTTCTCTTGGCTCATGGAAACCTCTGCATTAGACCACCAAGTTTTTATTTATTTCAATAACTGCAGGGCAAACCCTTGCAGAAGGTGAGCAGGAGTGACCACCAAGCACAKTCCCAGCCTTCAGACACCACCCATCCTGACGCCACTGCCAGGCCACTGGGCARGTCCAGGTAGGCAGTGCCATTGCCATGGCAGAAAGGCCATGGCAGCTTTGGGTGCTCCAGGGGTACCTGTGTGGGCTCTTCTTTCTCCAGGGCTGGCAGGGCTTGCAGATCWGAGAGGAGCTGACCTCAGCACGGGGTGGGAGGGAGCTTTGCAGGCCCTGACCCTGTACGGGTATCCCATGGGATCAGGAGGCACCAGCCTGGCCTAGATCCGAGGTGCAGAAGCACAACACCCAACTGCTGCCACCTTGTCCACAAAATGAGAGTCAGATSYTSCTTGTGGTGTCTGMCTGWAGCCTTCTCCAGCAGTGTGTGCTGCAGCAGCAGCCGCTCTGTCCCATCCCCTGTGGGACAGCGYGTGCCCCTTGTGAACACTTCTGGAGCAGTGTCTGATTCTGATTTTGTGGACAAGATGGCAGCAGCTGGTGTTGTGCTTCTGCACCTCAGGGGAGGGAGGAAGAGAGGGTATTGAGATCAGCCTCTTTTCCTGTCCCTCAGCCTCTCCTCATCTGCTCTTGAATTACYGAGTCCTGAAAAGTCTGCCTTCAGGTTTGTGCTCAGCTTGCCCGCTCAGCTCCCATCTCCCTGCTGCCCCATGGTTCCAGTGCCACCCTTCACACTGCCTTCTTTTGGCAGCAGGGAGACAGGATCTGGCCAGGTGGAAGCAGAGGGTTCCTTCAGAAAGAAGCGKCGCAAGAGGAGGCACCGTAGCGTGGACAGGAGCCTTTATGTGGCTGTGAAGGACGTGGAGGAAGTCTCCAGTCTGCCCAAGAAGGAGAGAATTGTTTCTCCAGAGGGCTTCAAGGACTCCAGGCCCTCCACAAAGGAGAGCATTAGCTCTCAGAAGGACTTCACTGATAAAGATTCCAGGCTCCCCAAGAAGAAAATGGTCTCTCCAGGGGACTTTGTATCCGTCACGGGGAGGGAGGTGGCGGGCAGGAGTCTCTGCCATGGCTCAGTCTGTGTGGACATGGAGAGTGGGCCCAAGCAAAATGTGCCAGAGCCCAGTATTCACCTGGGCATGGAGCCAACTGTCCCCCTCAAGAGGARGAAAAAGAAAAAGAACAGGAGCAGAGATGGGCCATTGAAGAACACAGCAGAGTGCAGCTCTGGGAGGCTGTCTTTGGACAGGTGAGGGACAAGGGACATGTGAGAGCCTGAGGTCACACACTCTGRGCTGTGGGTGTGGGTTTCCCATCTTTCTGCAGCTCAGCATGGATCCAGCTGGAGCACTCACTCTCTGGGGCTGGGTTCACCCTCCCTGAGTGCAGTGCCAATGTCCCTGTGCCCCACTGCCCTGGGGGAAGCTCAGAGTCCCTCTGGGCTGTGGCCAGAGTGAGCTGACYCTGCTGCCTTCCCCAGCCCCAGCAGAGCTGAGCCCGAGCCCTGTGAGACACAGCAGAGTGTGGAGGCTGCAGAGCACAGACACCGCAAGCGCAAGTGGATGGAAAGCTTCAGCAGCTCGGCTGTCACCGCTGTCACCGCTGTCCCCAGCAGCAGCAGTAGCATCCCAGGTGTGCCCGTGACCCTGCCCAGTGCCTGGCAGTGCCAGGAACCCCTGGGAACGCTGCTGTGCCATGGCCAGTGCTTGGTGCTCCCACAGCTGCCTGTSCTGCCCCAGGCCTGCCTGCTGCTCTTGGGGAGAGCCCGGGAMCCCCTCCCTGTGCCCTGGGGGAGGAACTGGGGACAGGCCCCTGTGTGCCCAAACACCATCAGGGAGCAGCATTTTTCTGTCCAGTGTCTCCCGGGGTGAGGTCTGTCCTGGAGAGAGGGAGGAACATGGTAACTCCTCTTGCTTCCTCTGGCTCATCCTCACCCCTCTCGTTTCTGCAGTGGCAGCATGTGCCAAGGACAGCCAGAGTGGGGATGAGAGACCCTCTCGGGCTGCCCTGAGCCCTGTGGCCAACAACTGGGCTGGCACATCCCCTGAGGGCCAGGAGTCCAGTGTGGTAGGCAAGCTGCTGCAGAACTCCTTGGACAAGGCTTATGGCAAACAAGGTAATCCTGACTTAGGTGGGTGGGCAAACAGCSGGGCAGCCCCCTGCCCTGAGCTCTGGATGAGGGGCAGAGCCCTCTGTACCCTGCCAGGACCTGAGCTCCCCCCTCCCAGGGCAGGTATTGGGGTGCCCATACCAAGCACCTGGGCACAGGTCTGTTAGGGTGGGACAGGGGGAGCTGGGGAAGGGGCTGCAGCCTCGGGGGTCCTGGTGCAGTGGGTGCASTGGGGCACAGCCTGGTGTCTCTGACCTCACTGCTCTGCAGTGTTGACCTGGCACGGTGAGATTTCGGCCGTGAGCCAGGATGCCATTCGGGATGCAGCGCTGGCCCGAAGCGAGACCGTCACCGATGAGTGGGACCAGGAGTTTGACAAAGGAAAGGTGGGTGCTCACCGTGGGCCAGGCTGGGAGGAGACTGGGGACTCTGTGCTCTGACCTGAGAGCCGTGCTGCCTCTGCACAGGTCAAGAAAACGAAAAAGATGAAGCAGGAGCGGAGGAGAGACTCAAATCCCTTCCAGAAGTTGCAGAACAAGCGCAACTTCTGGTTGATGTCACATCCTGCCAAGATGGCCAGCCTGGGCCACCGGCTCTCAGGTGAGCGAGCTGAGGGGCACAGCGAGGGGGSGATGGCACCTGCTGAGGCCTGACATGGTTCTTTCCTCACAGGTTGAGGGCTGCATCCCCCAGACTGCTCAGGGAGCAATCCTCAGGTCAAGGACCGGGAGCAGCACCGTCCTGGGAGCTCAGATGGGAGAGAATACAGCTGCAGCCCTGGCGTTGTGCCTTTCCCTTCGGGGAGCTGCTTTTSCAGCTGCAGAGGAGCCTGCTCACACTGCCTTCCATCAAACCTTCCTCAGCCAGGCTCTTCCTCAGCTTCCCCGTCCCTTCCCGTCCTTCCCACAGCCGCAGCTGCAGGGGTTCCTGGCAAGTGCCTCAAGCCCTCCCTGCTGCTGTTACCGTGCCTCCCGTTCCCCGTGTTACCGACACTCACCTTCCCCTGCACCCCACTCCTGACCTCCCATCCCCTGCACAAGCTGTACCGAAAGCCTCCCCCGGTCCCTCCCCGTGGCCCCGGCCCCGCGCTGGCGCGGGGAGCACCGGTGCGATCCCYGCGGGGCCGGAGCGCTGCCACCGGGGCCACGGCCATTGAAGGATTGAACTGCAGAAATCCCRGTGTTTGTCAATCGGCTGCGACCGTGAGGGGCGAGCGGGGGG